CATGGATGAATCTGGAGGGCATTATGCTGAGTGAAATAAGTCAATCGCAAAAAGACAAATATTATATGAGACCACTTTTATAAAGTAACAACAAAAAGTTTACACACAGGAAAAAAAAAAAACTCTTTGATGGTTACCAGGGATGGGAGAGGGAGGGAGAGAAAATTACCAAAGAGATAGTAGACACATGTTAACATTGGTGAAGGGGAAGGCGATATACAGTATGGGAGAAGTCAGCACAACATGACCAAGCAAGAGAGCACACAGAGAGGAAAGCAGGAATAAAGGACGACTATGGTAACAACTGGAGCCCTGGTGGAGCAGTAGTTAAGAACTCAGCTGATAACCAAAAGGTCAGCAGTTTGAATTCACCAGCCACTTCTTGGAAACCCTATGGGGCAGTTCTACTCGGTTCTATAGGGTCACTATGAGTCAGAATCAACTCGATGGCAACGAGTTTATGGTAACTACTATAGCATAGACAATCCTGCAAAAAATAGAATCAACAAACAATAACCTACTAATGTATACACAGATAGATAGATATGCCAAGAGGTGAGGGAGGTGGTAAGGGAGCACACCCACCAGCAGATACAGGTTCCGTGGTGGAAATTTCTAAATACATGACTGTAAGCGCTCTTCATATATTAATATAGACAATAGAGCACACAAGTGGCACAGACAGGGAAACATCTTAGACATAACTAAGCACCTCACGGAATGAAGTTCCCCGGCTCGAAGGCAAAGGACCATAGACTCAGGGGACGTCTACGTCAATTGGCACAACATAGTTCTTAAAGACAACGTCCTACATCCTACTTTGGTGAATAGCGTTTCAGGTCTTAAAAGCTTGCGAGCAGCCATCGAAGATACAACTATCGGTCTCTTTTAGTCTGGAGCAAAGCAGAGTGAAAAACACTAAAGACTCAAGGGAGCAATTAGTCCAGAAGACTAATGGACCACACGAACCACAGCCTAACACTACCCTGAGACCAGAAGAACTAGATGGTCCATGGATACCACCATCAACCGCTCTGACAAAGATTACGATAGAGGGTCCCCGACAGAGCGGGATAAAAATGTAGAACAAAATTTCAAATTCACAAAAAAAGACCATACTTACTGGTCTGATAGAGACTGGAGGAACCCCCTAGACTATGGGGCCCGGACACCCTGCTAACTCAGAACTGAAGCCACTCCCAAAGTTCACCTTTCAGTCAAAGATTAGACAGGCCTATAAAACCATAACACATGTAAGGAGCATGCTTCTTAGATCAATCAAGTATACAAGATCAAATGGCAAAGCCTGCATAAAAACAAAGACGAGAAGGTGGGAAGAGACAGGAAAACTGGATGAATCTAACTGGGGAACCCAATGTGGAAGGTGAAAGGGGGAGAGTACCGACACAATGCAACCAATAGCACGAAACAATTTGTGTATAAATTTTTGAAGGAGAAACTAATTTGCTCTGTAAACTTTCACCTGAAGCACAATAAAAAAAATTTTTAAATCAATAATTTGTATAAAATACTGCTACTGTGTAGTTGAATGAAAAAAAAAAACACTTGGTAAAATAAAGTACACTTATTATATTTGTTCTACAAACTGAGTGTTCCTACCAGGTTTTTAGAGCTGTGGCAGTGGTAGCAGTGGTCCCAGGCTCACATCAGCTCAGGGTAAGGCTTTAGAGCAAGTCACAGATATAAGCTGTTGGCAGCTCTGCCAGCACCTGGGGATTCGGTGCACAGGGAGATAAAGCAGGTCAACTCATGACTGAAGGCTAAAATACACTAGGTGTCTGCCCTGGGACCTGACCGATTCTTACAGGAACCAAATGAACTGATGACATGATTTCCCTGAAAGTGAGAACTGTTGGGACTGACTGTTCCCCATGCTGGCTAGAAATGGTACTCTCAGACCAGGGGGAGCTTATTTAGAGCAAGAGAACTGGGCTAAGAAGCCTAAAAGAGGTTGCAGGAGAGAGATGATATCCAAACAGCAGTTTGCATATATGAGGACTCTAAAGTTGACTTTTTCCCCCTTCTCAGAGCCTTCCAGCCTTCTGTTGCTGACTCCATGCCTATTTTTCTATAGAAAATATTTCTAAGGCATATACATAAGACCCAGAATCTTCAGAAGCTAAAGTGATCAATTCCAAATGCCTACATCCTTTTTCTACCATTTTACCCGCCAATAAGGTATAGGAAGAGGAACATAAGGGCAATACCAGGATTCTTGGGGCCAAGCAGACCCTCAGTTGATCCTACCCACCTGAAGAGAGTGTGCAGTATCAGCGCTAGGACGGGGGTGATGCAAGAGTGGTACCAACGGTAGAAAATTTGAGAAGACACTCTCAGAGTTTTGCACCCTAGTTCCAGGCCTGGACAAGTACTACATGTGTATTGAACAAGCCTTTCTGAATTGGGGGCAGTAGAGGTGAGAGAGTTGGTTTTGAATTGGTCATGTTATTGTGGTGGTTGGTTGTTAGTTGCCCTGGGGTCAGTCTGCTCTAACTCACAGCAACTACACTTACGACAGAACGTAACGCTGCCCAGTCCTGTGCCATCTTCAACTGCTGGTATGTGCTCAAGTCCATTGTTGTGACCTCTGAATTCAATAGGCATAAAATGTTTTCCAACTCAAAGCTCTAATCTCTCTGGAAAAATGGAGGTGGTACTTGGGTTGGCAGGTCAAGGCTCCCTCGTGGATAGGCTTGAGGTGTTTTCAGGCAGCAGTAGCAGAACTCATAGCAGGCCCTGTAGTGGTGGTGGTGCAACTCTGGAGCCTGATGGCCTGGCCTTGAACCCCAACTCTGTGTCTTCCTAGCTCTCTGAATGTAGCAGATGTGTGAGAACTGCTGACAGCTGACGTCTGTGTTCTACTGCAGAGACTTCCTCTTGGCTGATAGGAGCCTGGTACCACCATCACCAACCGCTGCTGTCACCCTCCCCTGTGGATCAGTCTAAGGCTTGACCCTTTCTTTGCTCAGCACACTCCCCCTGCCCTACCTTGCTGCCCTCCTTTGCTACAGGTTTCCTGGAGTAACACTTCCTCAGCAGATCATGTGAAAACCGAAGATACAAGGAAAATATTAGCCCAAAGGACTAAAGAACCACCTGAATCACAGCCTGAACCCAGAAGAACTAGATGTTGCCCAGCTACCACCATCAACTGCTCTGAAAGAGATTACAATAGAGGGTCCCGGACAGAGCAGGAGAAAAATGTAGGACAAAATTCAAATTCACAAAAAAAGACCAGACTTACTGGTCTGACAGAGACTGGCAGAACCCCGAGACTATGGCCCCCAGATACCCTGCTGACTCAGAACTGAAGCCACTCTGAAGCCCACTTTTCAGCCAAAGATTAGACAGGCCTATAAAACAAACGGTAACACATGTGAGGAATGGGCTTCTTAGTTCAGTCAGGCATAAAAGACCAAAGGGCAACTTCTGCCCAAAAGCAAGACGAGAAGGAAAGAAGGGGCAGGGAAACTGAATGAATGGACATAGGAAGCCCAGGGTGGAAAGAGGGAGAGTGCTGACATCTTGCAGGACTGCAACCAATGTCACAAAACAATTCGTATACAAATTTTTGAATGACAAACTAATATGCACTGTAAACTTTCACCTAGAGCACAATAAAAAAAATTTTTTTAAAGCTACATTTGTCCTTGTGAATTTTATTTCAGTCCAATGTAAATCTCTTGCTTACTTTCTTCTAAGGAAACTCTTAACAAAGTAATTCACTGTTGGTTTAGGAATTCGTTGAACTGAGCCAATGTTTAAAAAAAACTCTGTTGCCATAGAGTCGATTCTGACTCATAGCGACCCTATAGGACAGAGTAGAACTGCCCCATACGGTCTCCAAGGAGCAGCTGGTGGATTTAACTGCCAACTTTTTGGTTAGCAGCTGATCTCTTAACCACTGTGCGACCAGGGCCAAGGTTGAGGTGTGTTTATTTCTTTCACTCCCCAACTACAACACCAGCTTGTCTGCTGAACACGAGCTTCCCTTTCTTTCCTTTTAAATACTAAATGCTGTGAACCATAAAAACAAAACAAAACAAAAAAACAGATCATGGGCTCTGAACCCCCGTCCTAGCTTCTGCTCCTAGGGACCTAATACAGTAGTGCCTTGAGCAAGTACCCTTTATGCACCAGTGTGTACCTCAGCTGTAAAATGAGGATAATAGTACACATCTCTAGAGAGTGTTGTTAAAATCAAAGGAGCTAATATTTGTAAGGTCCTTAGAAAAGTGCCTGACACACAGAAACAGCTCAGTAAGGTTAAACCACTTGCTACTTAGTCCACTCTGACTCCTGGTGAGTCCGTGTGTGTGCTAGAGAGCGGACTTTATGTTATCCTGGTTTTATAGTTGGGATTTCAGGAATAATATGAATTATTAAAGGGAAAAGCAAATAAATCTGCTTATTGAATCGGAGAAACATTTTATTTTAAAATGGAAAGCATTAGTTTCTACAAATTAAAAGTGCAGTAGATTGACTCAGAAATTGAAAATACTAAAGGTGTCAGGTTCTGTCCATAAGGAAAATTTGAAAATAATCATATCTCAGCTAATATGATTAGGAGTGCTTCCACGTTGGGCAAACATTCCTATCTTTCTGATGTGTAAAAAAAATTCTGAACGTGGCTGAGGTTAGTCATCCCAATAAATAGATATTTACTACAGTGACTCATAATGAAAATTGTAGCATTCCAAGAAGGAAAACACAAGTGGTGAGGCAAGTTAGTTAAGGTAGTTGCAGCTGCTTAGAAATTTGATTGCAAACTCAGTCTATTAACGGCATCCACAATGATAATTCTGTTAGGAACATTCTCAAAGATAACTTCTTGACTTGCCTCACTGATAAATTGTAACTCTTATAAGAGGAAGTGGTTAAGACCTGACCTTCATTGCAACCAACACAGAAAAACTTGTTGATGAAGAAAAAATTAACAGGGACCTTGAGAGAAAGGAGCAATGCTGTCTTCGACTTTCTTTTATGACTTTGAGATTACATTCTCTAGGACACAGACTCTGAGACAGAGATTGTGTGCCGGTGAGTTATGGGGATTATGTCTCTCAGAGAAAAAAACCTGTCTGGGAGGAAGTAAGATTGAGCAGAGGTAGAAACTGAACCATGATGCTGTTGGAACAGAGGTCTTGGCAAGTTCCACAGGGAACTCTGAAGCTGGGATGGCACTTAGAAAATGTCTCATATTGAAGGGATGGGCCTTGTACTCCCATAGCAACCAGTCACTGGATACAGGTGCTACCAAGGTAACCATGTGTGAGGTAGCTCCTTTCAGCTGAGTACAATTCTTTGGGAGAGTCTCAGCTGGGAGCCACAGCAGCCAACACTCCTAGCTGCGGCAGAAATGAATGATTTAGAGCTAAAGGAGGCCCCCACCCATAACGTCTGTCATGGATTGAATTGTGTCCCCGAAAAATGTGTGTCATCTTGGCTAGTCCATGATTCCCAATATTGTGTGATTGTCTACCATTTTGTCATCTGATGTGATTTTCCTGTGTGTTGTAAATCATACCTCTGTAATGTTAAAGAAGCAGGACTCAATCTACAAGATTAGGTTATGTCTTAAATCAATCTCTTTTGAGTTATAAAAGAAAGAAGTAAGCAGAGAGACAGGGGACCTCATACCATCAATAAACAAGGGCCAGGAGAACAATGCATCCTTCGGACCTGAGGTTCCTGCACTGAGAAGCTCCTCGACCGGGGAAGATTGATGACAAGGACCTTCCCACAGAGCCAAGACAGAAAGCCTTCCCGTGGAGCTGGCACCCTGAATTCAGACTTCTAGCCTCCTAGACTGTGAGAGGATAAATTTCTCTTTGTTAAAGTCATCCACTTGTGGTATTTCTGTTATAGTAGCACCAGCTAACTAAAACAAAATCATTCGTAATGGGAATGTGAGAGCTAATTACTTAATTTTCAGGAAGTTTGTAAGCCTCTTGTTAAACACTACCATTATTAAAAATTAAGTTGTATGAACTTACAAGTCATTACATTATATTGAACATAAAGGTAACAAACACTTAAAACTCATCACTACCTAATTATTTGACTACATTTTACTATTATCTGTGCTGTTGAGGTTATTTCTGTCTATTGTATCTGTGTGGTGGAAATACTACATAATGGGGTGCTACTGAATATCTTTTCCCATCTCTAGCTGTGGGGACTGTGCCAAGGTAGGAGTGGCATCAACAGCCACAACCATCACCCACCAGCAGGAGCGGGGGCCACAAGGCAGCAATGCGAGATCAGTGGGGGAGCCAGGCTGGGGATTGTCCAGGGGAAAGGATTTGCAGGGGTCTAGAGTTCTGGTGGTGCAATGGTTAAGTGCTCAGTCGCTAATTGTAAGGTTGGGGGTTTGAATCTACCCAGCAGCTCTGTGGGAGAAAGACCTGGCTATCTGCTTCCACTCCAACCTGGTATGGCCAGGTAGACACAGGTTACGCTACAAAGTCACATCTCTGTAATTCCTTTCTTGAGCTATTTTGTGCCTTGCTGAGATTTCACCTGTTGAGATCTTGAATTCTAATACTATTATCTAACTTTCTGGCTATCAGTTCCGGAGTTCTGCCATCTATAAAAATGATGAGCAGTGTCTTCAGCGAATTCATTCTTAATTATAGTCATTTAAACATTGCAAAGGACAGATCTGAAATCAGACCATGAGGCATCATTTCTTTAAAGACATTGTTAAAATCCTCGGCAAGGCACAAAGAACCTGCTTAACATTTATCAAGTTGGATTGACTATCCAGATACAGATTAATGCCACATAGTTACAGATATTCATAGAGGACATAGTTACAGAACATAACCACCTTGTGAGAAGGGTTTTCTGGGTTTGAAGGCTTAGGATGTTAGCTCCTGGGACAACTCAGTCAATTGACATCACAGAGTTCATGTTCTGCATCATAGTGAGTTGAGTAGTACCTAGGGGCTTAAAAGCACGCAAGCAGTCTTCTAAGATACAACTTTTGATCTCTACTCATTAGGAGCGAAAGAGAAAGAAGGAAACCAATGTCTCAGAGAAGAAATTAATCTACAGGGCTAATAGTCTACACGAGCCACGGCCTCATCTACCCTGAGACAAGAAGAACTAGATGGTGACTGGCTAACACTACTAATAGTTCTGATCAGGTCCACAATAGATGGACCCTGATGGAACAAGAAAAAAACATCGAACAGAACTCAAATTCTTAAAAAGTCCAGACTTAACTGAAGTGCTTGAGACTAGAGGACTCCCTCAGACTATCATTCTGAGATACTCTTTAAATTTTAAACTGAAACTATCTCCTGAGGTCAACTTTTAGTGAAATAACAGATTGTACACAAAATAAAGGACATTATCTGTGAGTACAATGTCCCATTAAAAAACCATCTATATGAGACCAAAAGGTCAACAATTACTCTAAAGCGAAGATGAGAAGATAAGGTGGCAGGGAAACTAGAGTACTGGAAATAGAACAACCAGAATACAATTAAAGAGAAAGCTGACACACTGTGAAAAATGTAACTAATGTCTCTGAACAATTTGCATAGAAATTGTCAAATGGGAACCTAATTTACTGTGTAAACTTTCACCGAAAACACAATAAAATACTATTTTAAAAATAAGTTTTCTGATAACTAAATTGAGTATGAAAAGCTGATTTCCTTTTAATACTTTCATACACATTGACAAAACTTGTTAATCATTTTTTAGAATTGATTTGACTTTGAAGCAAAAGCATATCAATTTCAAAACCCTGTCTAGTAAATTCATTAACTCTTGTGTCAATTCAGTGTTAACTTTAAATTTAGGGGGGTAGGTATGGCATAAATTGAAAAGCAACTCCAAATTTATTATCAGCAACAAAGCATTTCTCAATTTTTTCCCGTAGTTTTTGGGACCAATTCAGGTAACACTGTCAATTAGAATTAAAATCTTTTGCGTATTCATTCATGTTAGAAATATGTGTAAAATCATTATTATTGATTTATATTATGAAAAATTTCAATTTTTAACATTAATTCACAATTAACTAACATTAATTCTCATATCTATAGAGCTAGGTCACAAAACAGCTTTTCTTTTCCTTGGAGCTTTAAGTTATGCTAGTTCATATGCAGTGTGATATAAGTGAGAAAACATAAATCAGGCTGCCGGCTTTTGTCTTTGATTATTAAATATTTGGCAAACATTCTTTTGTTTCAAAGAAATCTTGAATAGAAATTAACAATATAGTAAATCATTGTAAAATTTTTTACAACTCATCCAATGAGCAGTGACAAAGAACACAAGATCATTAAATTCAGTCTTTTACTTCTTTCAACAGTTACATAAACTAGTGCTATTTCATAGCATTTGCATGTATATACTGAACAATTTTAACAACTGTATCCATGATACTTTATTATTATTGTGCTTTAGAGGAAGTTTTACAGAACAAACTAGCTTCTCATTAAACAATTAGTACACATAATGTTTTGTGACATTGGTTACCAACCCTATGACATGTCAAAACTCTTCCCTTCTCGACCTTGGGTTCCCTATTACCAGCTTTCCTGTCCC